GACTGCAGCCTCCTCGCTGCTTCGGGTCGGTCACCGCTGGCCAACGGTGCCGATCCTCGCTCCCCCGTGTTCGTGGCGATCTCGCCACCCTCCGCTTCGCCCTTCGTGGCCTCTCTCTGTTCCTGGTTCCCCGTCACTCCCCGTCCTCTTCCGGTTCCCCTCCTTCTATAGCCTAACCCCTCACCCCCCCACGTGACCTAACTCCTCCCCTCCTGACGTCACCTCCGGAGGGCCGTTTACGCCCGCATTACATCTGCATCGGATCGTGCATGTGTTCGAATTTATTATATATTTAGTATTCATGCATATTATAAGCGGTAAAATTTAGAGTTGGGAAGTGACAAAAATTGTGTAATTAAGACAAACATTTGGAGAAACAACACAAATGAGATAGTAAAATGAGGCAAAGAAGAGTGATTCTTTTTTTTATCAAATCGCGATTCCTAATTTGTGAAAATGTTATCAATTTCTGGGTGGGTTAATAATGTCGAATGCCTCGATCCCCAGTTTCACTATTTAATTTCTCTGCTTACAAAGCACTTCAAACGAATAACATTTTCAAAGTGTATACATTTTTCTTTATAAAAAAATCAAACAATCTAAGAGGGTTCATTTCATAAAGCTTTCACAGAATATATGTTTATATACATAAACATATATGATTGGAGTCCATCCGAATCCGGGCCCCTTCATCCGCACCATCGTTGCAGCACGGGCTGATATAATAGGGCTACGACATGCACCATCTCTTCATCATCTGCACCTGCAACCCGCACTCCTGAGGACGCTCTCTGTCCTTGGGCTTCTCCGAGGCCAACGTCGGAGACCGCATCGGCACCGTGGTTGCAGAGGTGGCAGGGGCCGCCGTTCACAGGTCGACCTCGAACCAGCCAACTCCTCTGTTCCCTCGACGCCTCACCTGCACGGATCTTCACATCTACCTTCACATATCCGCCTCGGTCTGCTCAACGCACGCTCCATCACTAATAAATCAGCCCTGATTCATGATACCATCTCGGACCACCACATCGACCTTTTGCTCATCACTGAGACCTGGTGCAGGCAAGACTCCCCGCCAGCTATCTCTCTGGAAGTTGCGCCCCCAGGATACAAGGTTCTACATAAACCTCGCGCAACTAACCAGCGGGGTGGTGGCTTAGCGGTCGTTTACAATGCTCACTTGAAAATTAAAGAGCTCCATCTACCAATGGCTCAGGCCACATTCGAGGTCCAGTCCGTATCCCTTACTACTAACAACGAGTGCTTTAACATTATTTCCATCTATCGCCCTCCAGATGGCAGCATCAACACCTTCGTAAATGAGCTTTCGGAATTCCTATATCTGATTCCTAACCCATCTCACAGGCTCGTGCTTACAGGCGACTTCAATTGCCCCGGCAATACCCCAGCCTCCATCGATAGTCACCTTGAGTCAACTTTGGCCTGCCATAACCTGGTCATCACAAACTCAGGCCCCACCAGAGCTTCGTCAACAAACGTTGAGAGCATGCTCGACCTGGTTCTGGAACCTAACCAGCACCGACGCATCACTGCACTGGGAGTTTTCCAAACTGGTTACTCCGACCACCGCCTTATACTTTCTTCCCTCCATTTTCCGAAGCCAATCACCATCAAATTCACCCGCAACTTGCGTAATTTTAAGGGTATCGAATTTTCTGCTTTTCGTCACCTCCTTGCAAACTCGCTTTCAATGTTATCCCCATCATCGGATCCAACCGTCTGCGCTCTCCAACTAGAAGCTGACATGAGGGCGGCGCTGGACAAACTAGCTCCATTAAAATCACGAACCGCTAGGCAGTCTTCTCACGACACTCACTGGCTCTCAAGAGATGCCATCATTGCTAAGCGAACCAGGAGGCGTCTTGAACGTATCGCATCCCGCAGTGGTCTACCTGCTGATCGACTTGCTTACAGAGTCGCCTGCAGGAAAACTAACAAACTGATCCTTGTCTCACGTTCCTCCCACATTGAGGAACGCATCAAAAAAGCAACCGGAAACCCGCGCATTCTATGGAAAACTCTCAAAGATCTTCTCCATCCTGGTAGCACCATGGTCCCTCACCTTAGCGATCCCCTTGCCTCACTGAAACTTGCCACCTCTTTTAATACTTACTTCAACAACAAGCTAATCGCCGTCGCAAACTCGTGCACGTCTACTGACACATTGCACCATTGTACCCCGCTCATGGTACCTAAAATTGTAAGCACTAACCCAGACACTCTTCTAACTATGCTAAAGCCTGTGTCTACAAAAGACGTTTTCGCTTTAATTGAATCACTTCCTTTGAAGTCATCTCCACTCGACGTGCTCCCAGGTTCCTTGTTCAAGCAATGTGCTCCGGAACTCGCCATCATGATCAGGAACATCGCAAATGCCTCCTTCTCTTCGGGGTGTTTTCCGTCCAACCTCAAATCTGGCCTGGTTTCTCCCTTGTTAAAGAAACCAAATCTAGATCCGGATGACCCATCTAGTTATCGTCCCATCACTAACCTCTCGAACCTCTCTAAACTCCTTGAACGACTAGCCCTCGCCCAGCTACAACCACACGTCACCTCCTCCGCAAACTACTGCAACTTCCAGTCAGCTTACCGTCAAAACTATTCCACAGAAACAGCACTCACCAGGGTGCTCGATGACATTTTAACGATCGTTGATTCCGGCTCAACTGTTGCACTTGTAAGTCTGGACATTTCGTCAGCCTTCGACACCATCAACCATTCGCTCCTTACTTCCCTCCTGAAATCCGACTTCGGTATATGCGGCTCAGCACTCAAGTGGATAGCTTCGTACCTTTCTGACCGGCAATCCTCAGTCAGGGTGGGCATGTCCACATCGCCTGAAACAAGAGCATTATGCGGGGTTCCCCAGGGCTCTGTTCTAGGTCCCCTGCTCTTCACAGCCTACACTTCCCCGATCGGCCGACTCATTGCAAGCTTCGGTGTTAAGCATCACTCATACGCGGATGACACGATTCTATTCACCGCCATCGATTCTAGCAATGCATCTGGATTCGAGAGGCTCTCGGAATGTACCACCGCCGTGCAACAATGGTTCACTGCACACAACCTAGCCCTTAATCCGAAAAAGTCAGTGGCCATCATGTTAGGTACCAAGCAACGTCTCAATTCAGCAGCACTCCCCACACACATACACATCTTCGGTCATAGCATCAAGTTCACCAACCACTTCAGCTACCTCGGTGTCATCCTAGATTCAACTTTATCCTTCGACCGTCAAACCAACCATATCATCAGCTCATGTAACTTTCACCTGAAGGCTCTTAGACACATACGTCCTCTCATCTCTACTGAAATTGCCAACACTTTGGCATGTTGCATAGTTGGGTCTCGCCTTGACTATTGTAACTCCGTCCTTGTCCGGACCTCCGCTGGCAACCTAAGGAAGCTTCAAAGACTACAAAATAACCTAGCACGCGTCGTCATTGCCCACACTCATCCCCGCCTCGACTCACTAGCTCGTCTCCGCGCTCTCAACTGGCTCCCCATTGCCAGTAGGGTCACATACAAGACCGCCTGCCTCTGCCACAATGCCTTCATATCCGCCTGCCCGCCGTATCTTTCTTCATTACTGACAACTTGCAGCTCAGCACACGGCAGATGCCTGCGCAGCGCGACTCACGACCTCCTCTTGATACCAAGATCCAGGATGGTCATGTCTACGCGCCGCTTCTCGGTGGCAGCCCCAACAGTCTGGAACGATATCCCTCTGCACATTCGCAGCATCACCTCAATCGCCTCCTTCAAGAGACACTTAAAAACTCACCTCTACAATCATGCTTTTGAGCGACTCTGAGCTTGGCTCCGCGCCTCTGAGTTGCGGCCACTACGTCTGCAAATTTGCGCGCGTTACAAATTGTACTATTATTATTATTATACTTTATTTTTATGCAGGTTTTTTGATAGCTTGAGAATACGTTTTTCCCCTTTTATCTGACAACAAAACAGATGTTAAGTTGTTAAAACACCAAACTAAAACCTTTTACAAGGAATCATATCTGCATTAACCACAATACTTGTGGTCAAAATGCAAACAAAAAACATACTCTGGTAGCATATGCAGTCTTTGAAACTGATTGGTCCACACCAGAGACAGCTTTCTGATAACAACGCCTTTTGGCGTCCCCTGGTCTAACACCGTTTGAGACGAGGCTCAAAAGAAAGCCGTGTCTAGTGTTGACCAATCAGTTTCAAAGACAATGCATATACTATCAGAGTGTGTTTTTTGTTTGCATTTTGACCACAAGTATTGTGGTTAATGCAGACATGATTCCTTGTAAAATGTTTAAGTTTGGTGTTTTAACAACTTAACATCTGGTTTGTTGCCAGATAAAAGGGGAAAAACTTATTCTCATATTTTCATACTGGCAAAGGAGGTCCCATGATTTTTGATAGCTTGTTTGACCCTCGCAGTTGAAGGTCCATAATGGTCAAAATCCACACAAATTCTCAACATTCTTCCATGCATTCATATTTTAGTAATGTGGGGCAGTGGCACAGTGGTTAGCATTGCATTGCACTGCAAACCCAGTGACCTGATTTGATTCCTGGCCACAGCTACCATCAATGGCTAGTTGTATCCAAAACGGGCCGGGGCTTTCACATCGCCAACCTTCAAAGGTCACCGTGGTGGGAGTATGGTCACAGAATTCCCATGGCCGATATGGAGTTTTTTTAAATCAAGATTAAATACTAATTTCTTGCTTTTTTGTGATTAGTGTGTTATCCCTCCCCCCACACCTCCGATGAGCACAGATGGCTACATATGGTGTGACAGAAATTCAGCATACACACATGAGCTCATCCAGCAGCAGAATTGACAAATGGCAGTAACATCGTCACGAGTAAAATTACTTCAACGGGACTTCGTTAACAAATCAAAGCCTTGTGATGAAGCGTGACGTGGCATGGCGTCATGTGAGCGGGAATGACGCCGACTCCCTGTGGAATCCCTCTCACAGGTGGGGGACCCTCGACTCGCTGCCCGGCCTGCTGGAGGAGCCTCGCCCTCAGTTTTGTGTAAGGCAACCTGCACAACAACAACATCATCATCGTCATCATCAGCATCATCAGCAGCAGCACCGCCACCGAGACACAACCTACATAAGCATTTACAGCTGCAGTGAGACCCTCCCCCTTGTCTGGGATGAAGATGGGTGGTGTCGTTCACGGATACGAAAATTGCAGATGAAAGGAGTAGCCACACAAAAAAACACCTTCTGGTCTGCGACTAAATGTGGAAAGGTGGATGAATTTGTTGCGCAGTTCCTTTTTTTCATGGACAATAATGGGCGATGGGAAGTCCTCCCTGTTGCGGAATATATGATCCATGCATATGTAATGATGACTTGATACACTTCTCTTGAGATGACACTTTAATGAAGACACGTTCACTTGACATCAGGCGGAGATCCCACTCCAACAGCCCTGAGTCTCCCACGCATCTCCCTTATATATTAACACGAGGCCACGCCCCCCTTCTCGATCATTCTCTCTGACTCTGGACGCTCGCTCTGCCAACAGACTCTAGCGTCCTCTTCTGTCACCTGACCACGCTCCCTTCTCAAACATTGCCGTAGCCACCAGTCCCTTCGCAGTCACAACTGATACCCCTGTCATTACCTCCCGTGGCCACTAGTGCATTCGTACTGTAAGCTGACTTCCCTGTCATTACCTCCTGTGGCCACGAGTCCCCTCACACTGCATGCAGGCTCTATTGTCATTACACATGCTCACGGAATGGAATGCGGTTAGCACGCCACGCTACGAACCCGCCCACCCGAGTTCGAGTCCCACTCCTGGCCAACACCAGTGACAGTGATCTAAACCAATCCTGGGGCCTTCCCTAGGCCGACTCAGTCTCAAATGAGTACCTGGTGCAATGTGCAAACATTGTCACCAGGGAAACAATGGCGGCCGGGCGTGGTGCTGGCCACCCACCTCTTAGCATGCCATGCAAGCCTTCATAGGTGCTCTCTAACCAGACTTGCTCGAAAAAAGTATGTTATGGCTATATCTGGGATCTTTGTCTTTGTGCTATGTTAACAGGGCAGGAGGCGCATAAGCCCCATCACAGGCCTCGAGGAGTTCTACTACCCTCCGTGGAGACGACGCATGTTCCGCTACCTCGTCAGCATCCCCTTGTGCCTCTTGTCGCTGTCGGCCGTCTTTCTGGCCATGTTTGCGTGCTTTGAGTTACAGGTGAGTCATGTCCTGTGGTGGATAAAAGATGACCTCCCTGGAACCCTCCCTCTCAGCGAGGCCACAATGAATAGTTAGGTCAAAGGGAGGATCCAACAATGTTTTAGAACCAGGAGCCTCCAAAATATGTTATTGTGTGGGAGCTCATGAAGGAAAGGTTAGTGTTTGTTTTGGTGGTCTGCTGACCGGTACACTGAGCCACTTTTGGACCAAATTCTGCACTGGGGCTACTATAAATGTGTTGCAATAACCGTTGACTTATGATATTACTCCGATCGAATTTCCTAGACTGTGACATGTGCTGTGCACGCATGGTCGTGGTCGCGACAGGAGTACGTGAAGGCTATTGACGGCGTGACGCCCTTGATGCAGTTCCTGCCGAAGCTGCTGCTGGCCCTGGTGGTTTCCCTCCTTGATGAGGTCTACAAGAGGATCGCGTTCTGGCTCAACCATCTCGGTACAGCGCAGTGCACCCCTCGTGCCGAGGACAACAATTTATATTTGGTACATCACGGTGATAAGCGCCTCTTCCTGGGGTGACTGTGACATGACTACTGTGTATATGGTAACTGTGCGATCATAGCTGTTTCCGTGGTGACAATCATCGTCATAATTAAAATATATAGCAGATCGTGAACCTTTCAAGTGCCTGCCGAGTATATAATGACATGCACCTGGTGCACATGCACAAACATGTGCACAACATTAAAAACATCAACCCATTTTTTTCTGTCGAATTTCTCAGAAAATTACAGACTGCAGAAAGCTTATGAGAAGCAACTGATAATCAAGCTCGTCTCGGTGAGTTCGCTTTGTGCTTCGACTTGGTGAGAGTGAACAATATCCCTGCGGTATCCTACGTACCTCCAATCAGCACAGTTGGCTATGTACGGTGCGAACGAAGTTCAACATCAATACATACATTGATTAAGTGGGTAGTTTCTTGGTTCGTACGTTTATGTTATTTTGGCGATACTTAGAGTAAATTTCTCTTTATTGCAATTGAATTATGTTTCATAATGTTTTTGTTGAATTGGTGAAATCAAGATTGATTTATCAGTCTATACCTGGTGTCAATAAAAACTGCTGCTACAGCGTATACTCGCCATTAACGCAATGTCTGTTGTTCTTGCCCAGTTCCAGTTTGTGAATTCTTTCTCAAGCCTCTTCTACATTGCCTTCTACCTGGGTGACATGCAGAGGCTCAAGGAGGTGATAAACTTCGTCACTTAGCAGAAGCTGGTGGCAGTGTTTGCTACATTGCAGTTACTCTTATAACCTTACATCACGCTGTGTCGTGTGCACAAACCGTCGATGTAGGCTAAACCGGCTATGAAAAGCAGGAGATAGAAAGATGGAGAGCATAGCCAGCTGCACCAAACAAGGCAGGGGGACCACCCTAATTGCCGTACTTGCTTTTAAATATGGTATACAGTATTGTAATTCGGTTGAGGTAATGAGGTGGGCTCAGAGAGCCAATGCCTGTATCAGAGCATGGAGTTGACACTGGGGCAGTGCCTAACTGAAGCGAGTTTTGCCACTTGTTGCAGCGGCCGCCATGATTAATATGGTGGGTGTATTAACCATTAAAAACACACACATCCTCTGTTTCACAGTGGACGTCTTGGTACAAATTAGAAAAATAACCCACAAATGACCCAATTGGAATTATACATAGCAGGTATTCCTCCTCTACAAGACCACAGACCTTGCAGGTTGGTCAAGATGGAGAGCACAGAAGTACGGTACAACAATGAATTGTTCTGCCCATAACATAGCCGTGCAACCCTATGACAAGTTTATCGTGCATGAGAGCCACCCATACGAGCAGGCTCCGACTTGCTTAGCTTCCGAGATCTGATGGGCACGGGCGCGTTCCTGGTCAATTAGGTCACAGGCGTTGAACTGTTTATCGAGTTGAAATAGCTCACAGCCCACACAGGAGTCTGCACGGTCGTGTTCGAGAGTGGCAGGGCCTGGAAAATGACTGCTCAGGGCACTGATACCATGGTGGCTAGGAGATGTTAACAACATCGTCTGGTATGCAGGAGGTCGTATGTTCGATCTCGACCCTTACGCTTGTATATTTGGAGTTTGCGTCCGTCTCTCTCCCCGTGGTCGCATGGATTTTTCCCAAGGTCCCCGGGTTTTTCCCTCCACATTTAGAATCAACGTGCGTTTAGAGTATTTGGCTGCTATACATTTCCACATGATAAGCCACTTCGTTGAGCTATCATTTGTGGCCAGGTCCCTTCTGAAAAAGAGCTATACTGTATAGCTCAGTGGGACTTAAGCGGTAAAATAAAAATTGTTTAGTTTTAGTTTTTTTTCTGTCTGCAGCAACTGGCGGCGTTCTCTCTGGTGACCGAGGCAACTCGCAAGGTGAAGACGGCGCTGCTACCGCACCTCCTCTTCAAGCTCCACCTCCTCATTAACTTCCTGCGGGGATATAACCTCCTGGTAGGTGGACACAATGCCACATTCTCTTGGAAGACACTATTTGTATCGATCAAGGCAAGAATCTCCATGGTTTTGTTTACACAGCGGCAACATGTAAAATGTATTCTATATTATCGTACTGAAATTGTAAATGTTGTGGGTTAGCTGTCTAGCACACCGGTGTGGTGAAGTAACTAATCGGCACGTCTTGTTCACGTGACAAACCTTAATAGTGTTGCCTCCAAGACCCGAGTCCGACGTCTCCAGAATCCACAACACTACACTACTATAGAGTCAGTGGATACTACTATAGTCAGTAGATGTTACTGTAGAGCAGCCGGGGGATGGTGGGGGAGGGGGGTGTACGGAACGCTGTTTTAGGCTGGGAGTCCGCGTCCAGTGGGACCTGCCAGAAACCGGACAATATATCCACGTACTGAAAAATATTGCTCCTGCCAGTGCATTAAGTGAGTCGTCGATACGTGGTAGGGGATATGCGTCGGCAAGCGTGACGGCATTGAGGCGGCGGAAGTCCATGCAGAATCTCAGTGACCCATCTGATTTCCGGTGCCCCCCAGGGACTCGAGGATGGGGAAATGATGTCGGCCCGCAGCATCTCCTGCACCTCTTGTTGAATGTGTCCTTTTTCCATTGGGCTCATTCTATATGTGTTTTGGCGCAGGAGTGTGGTGTCTCCCATGTTGATGTGGTGCTGCAACAGATGTGTGCGTCCTAGGTCGAACAGTCCCCGGCTGAACACGTTGTAGAACTCCTGCAGTAATGAGTGCAGCTGGTGCTTCTGGTCAGGTGGCAAATCCGGCTCAGGCCCCGCCAGCTGGTCTATCCACGAGTCGTCCCCTCTTTTCTCGGACTGGCTGACACTTCCCACAAACTCTGGCCCCATCCCGGGGGCTCCTAGTGACAAGGGACTAACGTGGGCCAGAACCGTTCCCGCCTGTACCGTTGCTGCTCTGTTTGAGGTGTTTAGCACTTTAATGAACAGATGCTGGTTCCCCTGGCCAATAGTTTCAGCCTCTATCAGTGCGTGGCAATCCATGGCGGCTGGTGCCAGAGACACTAGGGTGAGTGAGTCCGGCCAGGCTGTCATGAGGGAGGACCGATATCGCAGCGGTATCAGCATCTGGGCTGCCGGGGGAATGGAGACAAACTCACTGACCAGAGCCCCCTCCGCCTTCAGGAAATGGAGATGTGTTTCCTGGACTTCCATCCACCCGTTGGCCAGATCGATTTTCATAGGCATTTGCCTCAGAAAGTCCGTCCCCAACATGCAGGTCACAGGCAGCGTTGCGGAGACAAGGATGGGTCCTGCTACCGAAAGCTGCCCAATCTGTATCGGGGCTTCTACCTGGCCCAGGAAGCCCATGCTGCCTCCATTTTCTGTGACGAACGCCGTCTTGACGGGGACTAATGGCCGGTTTTTATCCGGCAGCATCTCGTGCATGGTGCTGATGATCGTGGCTGATGCCCCTGTGTCAACCAGTATGTATGCCAACACTCTCGCGATCGCACCGACCAGGACCGAGGTTCCCAACACGGCCACTACCATCTGCCTTGCCAGCTTCCTCCATTGTGTGTCTGAGTCCGGCCACTGACCAGGCAGCGGCTCACTATCCTGCGGTGTATGGCGAGATAACGGGGGATGGGTCTAAACGGGCCGAAGATATGGTTCCCTCCTTTAGGGTGTGTCGCAGCAGGGTGAATGTGGGCTTCTCACTGGGGTGCGGGCTGTGCTCTCCATGTGGTGCGAAGTGCTCCCCTTTGTAATGGGGGGTGGGAATTAGGGGGTGGGCCTTCCCGTGAGCCCTTCCTCCCTCCCCTTCCTTTGTCGTGGGGGCGTGTCCTCTTTATGATGTGGCCCCCCTCAGTCCTGTTTTGGTCCGCCGCATTGCGAGGGTGAGGCGGTGTGCGAAACTGCTCCACGGTGCACCGCAATTGCGTGTGCTGCCTCAGCCCCGAGGCAATTGCCCCTGGCAACTAACCAGCATTGCAGGTAAATAGCGATGTCACCCCACGCGGCAACATCACCCCCGGCCGCGACATCACTTGCGGCCGCGACGCCACCCCCGGCTGTGACACCACCCCCGGTTGTGACACCACACCCAGCCGCGACGCAACCCCCAGCCGCGACGCCACTTCCGACCGCGACGTGACCTCCGGCCGCGAGGCCACTTCCGACCGCAATGCCACTTCTGGCCATGACATCACTTCCGACCGCAATGCCAATTCCGGCCACGACGTCACTTCCGACCGCGAGGCCACTTCCGATCATGAAGCCACTTCCGGCCGTGACGTCACGTCTGGCCGTGACGTCACGTCCGCCCGTAAATCAATCCCCATCCCCGGCGCGATCCCCATCCCCGGCGCGGTCCCCGTCATGATCCCCGGCCCTGGCGCGATCCCCTTCCCCTGACCAGGACGGTGGAGCCCGGGGCCCGACACCAATGGCGCTCACCCCTAGGAGGCCACCGGTGAGGTCGCGGTGTCAGGACGGCGTCACTCACTTGGTTCCTGTTGGTGTTCAGCCCCGGAGGGTTCCAGGTAGAGTTGGCTGCCTCCGGCTCCATGCGGCACCCACTCGCCACGTGCCCCTCTCGACCACAATGGTGGCAGACCCACGGGGCATTTCGTTGGGGTGGCTCGGCACGGTGTTGTAGAGGCGGCTGCCAGTGGCGCGGCGGCTGGTCGCGCCCCTGGTCTCTCTGCTCTGCCAGCCCCCGGATCGCCATGTAGACCTCCTGCAGCGATGGCTCTGGCTCAGATACTGGAGGTCCGTTCCCAGCTGCCACATAGGCAGCCTGCGGCGATGGTGCAGGTTCAGCGATTGGCATCGCTGGCCCTGGTAGCGCCGCGGTAATGGCCCGGCTGCTCCCCCCCCGCCGCACCAGCCACCTGGCCCACGGGTAGTGCCCGGCCCATGACCTGTTCATGGGCTTGTAGGATCTGGGCGGCCCACAGCGAGGTATGTTCCTCCGGCGTGACCACTGGCATTACGACGCCGGCGCGGCAAGAGTAGGCGATGAGGTGCTCGAGCACAAGGTTCTCGAGCGCCTCGTCGGCCAGGCGAGGGAAAGCCCTCCTCGCCAACACAAGCAGCGCACCCATGTAGGCTAAAGGGGACTCTCTAGTCCCCCGCTGGCAGTCCTGGAACCGTCTAAAGGCGCCCTCAGCTGGGCAGTAGACCTCGTAGGCCGCCTGTAGCGTGGTCTTGCTGTGCGTGGGAAGGGAGGTGTAAGAGGCGAGCGCATCGTCGTCTAAAACGGATGGCAACACTCGTAGCGCTTCTTCGTCTGACCATTCGAGAGCGTGGAATGCAGCCTCGAATCGGCGGACAAACGCCTCCCAATCACCTCTCTCGGCCACAAATTTCTCCACCTGCTCCCCCTGTTGGGTGTTTAGCCCTGGCGGCTTTGGCGGGAGCGGGAGCGGCGGCTGGCGTGACGGGGCTGGTTGCGGCTCATGCCCGGCTGGCTGGTCGGCCTCCGGGTCCCGTGGCGCCTCCTCCCGTAGTATGAGTGGGAGAGGGGGTCCCGGCACTGGTGGGCCCCCAATAAGGAGCCGACGCAGTAGCTCCTGGAGTGCCCTCTCCAGTGGGCCATGCGGTCCTCCAAGGGGTCCTCCCTGGGGTCCTCCCTGGGGTCCTCCATGGGGTCCTGGACCTCTGCTGCTGCTCCTGGTAGCAAGCCCCCTTGTTGCCCTGGACGTGGAGGATCCCCGGCCCCTGCTTCCACTTCTGTTGGCTCTCTTCCGTGGAGATTCTTCCTTGTAGCCATTGTCGATCCCACCGCTGCCACCAGATGTAAAGGAGAGCTGACACAAGGTTGCATGTGGTTCATCTTTTATTTCTTCCTTCAGTCCACACTCGTCCCCAGCTTCCTCGATCCGGTTCCCGCCAATTCTCCCTCTTTTCCCGCCCGTTCCCTCTCTTATATCTCCTCGCCTGCTCTTCCCCCTTCCCCTGTCACCGTCCCACTCCCCCTCCTTTTGGTGGGAATCCTTCCCCTGACATCCCTTACACTACTATAGATTCAGTAGGTACTACTATAGTTATTAGATACTCCTGCAGAGTCAGTAGTTACTGCTATAGAGTCGGTAGATACTACTATCGAGTCGGTAGATACTACCATAGAGTCGGTAGATACTACTATAGTCCGTAGATAATACTACAGTCAGTAGATTCCACTACAGTCAGTATATACTGCTGCAGAGTCAGTAGTAACAACTATAGAGTCACTAGATACTACTCATTCTATTGTATGTAGGATGTGTGGGTATATATGCCTACGCGGGGGTAAAAATATTTTTTGAGGAGGGGGGTCGATAATTTTCTAAACCTTTTAGATCAACTTTTTACCCCCCACTTTCTATTACTTTTTGGACTTCTGCAAGCTTCTTATAATTTTGTTGACAGACAAATGGACAGACAAACGGAACGTCGGGCTTTCACAATAGCTTCGTATTTGTGTATGTATATGTTATGTTTTTAAGAGAAGTTTTGAAATATATTTTTCCCCCGGGAAACGCCGGGTACTTCCCGCTAGTAGTTTATAAAGCTACCTACGGCTGCCTGTTTCTGCACTGCGTACCTGCGTGTGCCGTGCCTGGCAGCTCGTAGGCATGCCCTGGATCACCGTGCGGCAACTCAAGCCTGCTCTTCACGCTTTGGGCAGCGCCGCCCTGGCTGCACTACGCTGCCGGCCCGCCAACCCTCTACCTATTTTCCCCACGCCAGCAGCACCACCGCATACGTACTACAATCACGAGACCGGTGAGCCTCGCCTTGTGAAGTCAGTCAGTGACTCTGTGCCATCGTAAAAAAAAATTAAATGACAATAATCATATTATTAATCGCTTCGTCCGTTCACTACTGTATGGAGGCCTCATTCACGGACGTTGCTTGACCTAGGGCTGAACGATTTGGGGAAAATATCTAATTGCGATTTTTCTTGATGGCTTTATGACCCTCGTCAGTGACACACGTGAAAGCACGCAGCACGTTGAATGCACATTACTATAGCATCATTATTAGTTGCACAAAAGTGAAAGCAAAGTGGTGGACAAAACCAGTGATTAAATGTAGGTCAAAGGGATATGCTTTCAGCAGTGCCGTTGTTTGTTTCAGAACCCGGTGGTTGTAGTGAGGTATCACAGGGCGCGGATGGCATTGGAAGAGCTGTCCCCTGCGTGAACATGCTCTCCCACGAGGATAATATCGACGATGACAACGACGACAACAAAATAAATGGCTCCACCTCAGATGTGAGCACGCAAAATGAGATCAAAATAGGCACAGCGCAGATCGTGAATTGGACCAGGTCAAAGGGGGCAGTACCCTTGAGCCGTGACGATCTTGGTGAGGGGACAGCAGCTGGGGAGCAGCTAACAGCAGTGGCAGAGCTGATGGGGGAGAAGGAACGCATGGAGGAGATACAGCTGATACGGACCGTGGAGATTGACCAAGAGGTGAAGCTACTGGCGGAGATGGAGCTGCACGGAAAGGCTCCACCAGTGTCCCAGGTGGTGATTGAGAGCTGCATGAAGAAGTACGAGGTAAGGCGGTGGTGGTACGGTGTGCCGACTTTCGGTTTGTTACGTCTATTTAGCAAGTAGAATTTCGTGACAATGTTATTCATGATATGTTATTTTGGTTTAGACCGCGTAAATATAAATGTGTCGTTAACCCACCAGTCATATCATCACCTATTTAAGACCGATAACGGGAGGACTTTCTCACAATTCTGGCACAATTCGTCCAATGAAGCTGGTTGTAATTTTATTTAATTTTATACCTACGTGACTTTACCGAAAGAACCAAAGAGTATGGTTGTAATTACCAGGGAAACGTCATATCCAAATTGTAATTGTTGTGGTTTTACTCTCCAACACACCGGTGTACTGAAGTAGTAACTAATTGGCACGTTTTGTTTACGTCACAAACCTTACTCATTGGCTGTGTCGGATGGTGATGGGTTAAGGACACATTTATATTCACGCGATCTAACCATAAATAACTTATTATAAATCTGCCACATCTGTAATAATTTGTAAAAACCCATCGTTGCACGGATCACTTTCACCGAGTGTAGTACTGTAGTTGCATTCAAATTTGTGCAATTGAAAACTGTTTCTGAATGAACAAAATTACGATTCTTTGAATTGAAAATATCTGCATAGAGGTTCGGAATGTGTTTTAACCAAATGAGAATGCGCCAGGATGCCTTTTTTTGGTGCAAACGTGAGGAGGATTCAATTTGTACATGCACTGACGTATGGAGTTTAAAATTCATACAAAGATCGTGAGTGAAACTACCTGCAGTGTGATATTGTAATTGTTAAAAACAAAAATCACGTGGAAAGTAATATTGAAGATGAAGATTACTATGACATTACAATGACATCAGTACACTATTATAATTTCCGTTTACTCTACTGGAAATGTAAACATGTTACATGTGTAGTGTCGTCTGGGCGTGCGGGTGGCGTGCGTTGCACACACAGTCAACCGGAGACAAGGTGGTCGCAGGAGGCACCGCTCTGCTCTCTTTATTCGTTGCTGTTGTTGCCGAGCTCACGCCACCACTCAGGCCCCCTCTTTCTCTCACACACGACCCCGCTGCCGTGCGTCCCGTCCCAAACACGACCCTGTCCGCTTTGCACCGACGGTGTCGATCGGGACAGCCAACTACTGTGATCAGATGAAAGCAGCAGCGACGAGAGCGATGACGATGACAGCGACGACGAGACCAGTCCAATCCCAGAACCGGCAGCCCAGAGCTCTCGCTCTCCCCTGCTTATATTCCCCTCGGTGCGGCTTGGCTCCGCCCTAACCACGCCTACCTTCTCGAACCCTCTAGACGGTTCCAGGGGCTTCCACATGAGGTCTATCATGACCCTTGCCCCACTTACTCTGCCCTGCCAGCACATCAGCGTATATCAGGGGTCCTCAAACTACGGCCCGCGGGCCACATGCGGCCCGCCGAGGACATTTATCCGGCCCGCCGGGTGTTTTTGCCGCCGTGCCTGTCTGTTACTTTTTTCTGCATGAGAAGGACGGTCATTGGTGGAAGAGTGAGAGGGGGCGGAGTTCCCCCCAATCAGACTGCATTGATGGGCAGTACAGTCTGTATGTCTCTTGTGTGGGCAAAGTTATTGCTGGTATATTGTTTTTGTAGCGCTGTATATATATTGGTATTTTACTAATAGCAATTTTTACTCCCTAGGAAACAATGATGTCAAGAAAGAGAAACATTTACTCGGAGTGTAGGATATTCAAAGAACAGTGGACTTATGATTACTTTTTCATGCAGTACAAGGAAAGAGCTGTGTGTCTGATATGCCAGAATATAGTGTCTGTGTTCAAAGAATACAATTTACGTCGACACTATGAAACTCAACATGAAGATAAATATGATTGTTTGGTCGGAGAAGTGAGAAAAGATAAAATATTAAAACTGAAAAATACATTAACAACTCAGCAAAATACTTTTGTGAAGCAGAAGCAGCTAAATATTTCATCACTGCGAGCAAGTTTTCAAGTTGCCAAGCTAATAGCGTGCACTGGCAGACCATTCGTGGAGGGAGAATTTGTTAAAGAATTCCTTCTTTCTGTTGCCAAAGAGATGTGTCCAGAGAAGGCCGATTTATTTAGTACAGTGAGTCTTTCAGGACCTACAATTACACGGAGGATTGAAGAAATGGGAGACAATTTGCATCAGCATTTGCAAAACTCCACAAAAAAACTTTCCTATTTTTCCTTGGCACTCGACGAAAGCAATGATGTTCGTGATTCTGCACAACTTCTAATTTTTATTCGTGGGTCGAATGACTATTTCGAAGTCACAGAAGAGCTTGCTGCACTGCAAAGCATCAAAGGAACAACTACAGGAGAGGATATCTATGAAAAGGTTTGCCAAACTGTGAATGGTTTGGAACTGAACTGGGCTAAACTAGCCAGTGTGACAACTGATGGTGCTCCTAGCATGGTGGGGTCTAAGAAAGGAGTAATTGCTCGCATTAACCAAGAGATGGACAAACATAACCATTCTCATCCAATAGCCATACACTGCCTCATCCACCAACAAGCGCTGTGTAGTAAATCACTGAAGTGGGACTCTGTTATGAAAATGGTGGTATCTTGTGTTAACTTCATTAGAGCTCATGCACTAAACCACAGACAATTTCAGGAATTTCTGTCTGAGCTAAATGTTGACTATGAAGATGTTCTGTACCACACAGAAGTCCGTTGGCTGAGTCGAGGGAGAGTTTTGAAACGTTTCTATGACTTACTTCCACAGATTACAGCTTTTCTGCTTTCAAAAAACAAAGAAGTACCAGAGCTCAATGATGCAGAATGGAAATGGCACCTTGCCTTTCTGACAGATGTAACAGAGCTACTCAACAGTTTCAATATGCAACTTCAAGGAAAGGGGAAGCTCATCTGTCATATGCAATCACATGTCAAAGCATTTGAAGTAAAATAAGGCCTCCTCATCAAACAAGTGAAGGAGGAAAACTTCTGCCATTTCCCCACAACTCAAAATCTGTTATCAGAAAAAACATTGGTTGCATTCCCAAACAAAACATGTGTGGATTCATTGGAAAAATTGCAAAAGGAGTTCCAATTTAGATTTAAAGAGCTTCATCTCCATGAACAGGACATACAGCTTTTCCGCAACCCATTTTCTATTGACATTGAAAATGTAAATACAATTTACCAAATGGAACTGGCTGAACTGCCTTCATAATTTCTATGCATCTCTCCCCTCTGAGACATATCCTCATCTCAGGAACCATGCACTCAAAATGGCAACCATCTTTGGCAGCACTTATGTCTGTGAACAGACTTGTACCAGAATGAAACATTTGAAATCTCCAACCAGATCTAGACTAACGGATACACACTTGCATCACTTGTTACGACTAGCAGTGACAAATATGGAACCGGACATTGACCATCTCATTAGCCAAAAGCAGGCCCATAGTTCCCATTGAAATACTGGAAAGTTTGTTGATTTAACTTTACTTGTTCTTCATTTTAAATATTGTATTTGTTCCCGTTTTGTTTCTTCACTTCAAAATAAGATATATGCAGTGTGCATAGGAATTTGTTCATAGTTTTTTTTAACTATAGTCCGGCCCTCCAACGGTCTGAGGGACAGTGAACTGGCCCCCTGTTTAAAAAGTTTGAGGACCCCTGGCGTATATGCTCAGCGGCGTGTGCGCTAAGTACCCACCTGTAGTTGCTGCTGCTGTCCAACAGTCAGCACTATGTCACTAAACATGTAAAAAACAGGAATTGTGCATCGTGATATTTCAGGACTAGTTATCTGCATAGTCGTACTCATTTGAATCACCTTTATATTTCTAACCACTTGTATTCGGACCAAGTCTGCTCATGTTCTCATACACCAGGTGACCTATTCATGATTCACTTCGCAGTGTGAGTGCAGCTGATTTAACGGGGTGTTTATGAGATAACTAGATCTGATTAATTGTTTTTGAGTCTCGGAATGTTAAGTATGTGGATGATACGCAACATTACATCCCCATCAACATTCAGTGCCGCCTGACGCCGTTGGTGGACATACTTTTGTAGAGGTGATACGCGCTGGGATTAAGGATCGTATGCACAGTGTGTGATGATTGGCTGTGTAGGTGGTGACGCGCGCTGACGGTGGAGGATCAGGGGTCAGCGCGGGGTCGTGGGTTACGGGGTACCGATTGGCTGTGGGCGGTGACGCGCTGAGAGGGAGTGATTAGGTGGCAGCGCAGTGTGATTGGTGGAGTAATGTTAACACGCGCTGGGGAGAGCGGATCGTAGAGAGAGTGCGTCGTGATTGGGTCATTAAGGAACGACGCACACGTCGACGCCGCATCAGCTCCGTCCCTCGTGAGCAGGGGCTATAAAAGGGGATGCACACAGGCGTAAGGGCAGTGTGTAACCAGCGAAGAATGAAGACGGGGATGAAGACCTAGAGCCCTGCGGTACCTAGCCCCGCTGTCCTAAGGGGACCGGGACTCTGTGTAACCCAGAGGCGAGTGTAGTGGGTGTAGCCATAGGGCTTACACGAGTCGAGTGTATTGTGTAGCCAGAGGCATAGGGCTTACACGAGTCGAGTGTATTGTGTAGCCAGAGGCATAGGGCTTACACGAGTCGAGTGTATTGTGTAGCCAGAGGCATAGGGCTTACACGAGTCGAGTATAGGGTGTGTAGCCAGAGGCCTAGAGCTTACACGAGATTAGTGGAGTGTGTCGGAGGAAGAAGGAAGACCACACGTTGTATTGTGATACCTAAAGGATTTAATAAAAGTGTGTTACCCGTCAAGAAGTTCCTGCCGTCAATTCCCATACTTCAACTGGCGTCAGAAGTGAAACGGTCCTCCAAGCATGGATACAAGGAGGAACCGTCGGACCCACGGGATTGACCACGAGGACAACCTCGACGACGCGGGCCAGCGGGCATCAGGGGGTGAGGAAGAGGAGCTGCCCACGGGGCAGGATCCACCGACGGCGCCGGACGAGCGACGGGGGACTGACACCGTGCTTCGCGA